TCGTCATAAAGCATTGTCATAACTTGACAATCACGTAATATGACTGATAAAATTAATGAAACTATTAACGAAATCGGTCAACAAATTGACCTACAATTACCATTAAATGGTGTTGTTTTCTTGGTATCTTCATCTATCACAGATGATTACAGTATGTTTCTCTATTAGTTGCTCATTCAGTAAATATCTCAAAACCTTGTCAGTCTAATTGATGGTTTAGCGACACAATCATGCATGCAAATAATCAGTATAAGCAGTCGAGCAAATCTCCTGCAAACTGAAAACATTAATGTCGAATTTACCCCAACACTGACTAAGGTTCAAGCCATTATCATAGACATGAGTTGGGAGTGTACTCCCCTTGGTTACAACTTATGTACTCCCTGATAATCACATGAGCATCACTCACGGTTAATCATTTTGTAAAAACGTATTTGGCCGAGTACATCTTACAGCACCACATCACTTAGTAATGTGACACAGGCTTAACTGATTTCAGTAACTTATAATCACCATATCTCATTTAAATCGTATTCTGCCCACATACGTGCAACTAACTTGTATGCCCATCAGCCGGCAAGTATAAATATAAATAAATAGTCTGCCACAGATCAGAACATTGAGTCTAGAGCATGTCTCTTACGAATACACTCATGTTTAACGATTTGTTCCTAGCTATCTGTCCAAAATTCATATGATCATCACTCACGTATTTAAATTTTGTTTTGATAAACATTCATGTGTATTAGTAGTATTACTAAATTCTATCACGGTCAAGTAAAAATGAAGTTGAGAAAATCTCCTCGTAACTAAATAAACCGTATCAAACTGACTGGAACACTAGTTGGAATTCTTCTCCACGGTATACTTTTGTTCCTTCAGTTAGCCTACTAATACAGATGCAATTGGAATTCAACTCTTATGGACAACATACCGGCATAATCGTTATTCAATTTCATAATTTAAACCAAAACTAATACCAATATTAACATTTCTACAATATTGATTGCTTTTAATATTTCTAAACACAAAATACTACCTAAACGTTCAATTATTAACCAACGGCTATCAACACGCATCGTTTTATTATTATTATTGTAATCCCATTTTTATAGTTCAAATAATCTTCAACCAAATTTTCATTTTAAGCGTGTTAATCATGAAAGCAGATATTTTAAGATTATTACATGTATTTCCCGACCAGATGCTGCCTCCTTTTTCATTTATCTTTCAGCTTATCATTACCCGGGGATTCTTCCTAGTCTTGGTAACCTTCGGCGCACGACGATCCCATCCAATTCGGTATCGAAACAACATCACGTTGATTCTGGTGGGAGAGTAGTGTAGTGGCATTGAACGATAACCGCACAATCCACAAAGCTGAACACGAGACTATTCAGAAAGTAGATATTCAATATTTAACGCGGATAAATACCTAAGAATGGAGAAGGCGCAGAGAATGAATTGAATGGACTGAGTTGATCGAGTGGCATGGCTCGGCCATGCAGGCGTGGTCCCTGCTGGATGTTATCTTATATCTCCTATTCATATTAAATATATTGTTCTTTCTCTAGCCTAACCGTGTTCTACATCATGTATTGGTAATTGATACCATACAGTGAGTTGGTGTAGTCGATGGTGTGACTTCCACGTAAGATCTTATAGATTAGGCAGTTATATCATGACAAATCTACAAATTTAGGATTAGGTCTATTATTAGAGCAGTACTAATATCATAGTAGACCATAATTCTACACATACATAGTCGTTTATTCTTGTTTTGTGTTCAAAAACACGCGTCTTAAACGGTGTATTTCGAGTTCCCCTCATTGCCATTACCTTATTTTCTCCCTTTCCTTCTTTAAGGTCACCTCAAATTTCTTTTCAATTGCACATAACCTGTTTTTTTTTTCAAATATGGTAAATATTATGTCAACATTATTGAAACTTGTGCATTATTCCATTTCTGTAGGAACCCGAAACGGTTTCTTCACATCACTTATGCACCCGTGTTACACATCCCTTGCAGCTGTTAGCCGGCTTAAACCGAACGATTCTTGACATATCGATAGCCTTTAAATTATATCTTTGAACCTCTTCACTTATGACATCTGATTTGACTGGGTTAGCATACTTAGAATGTAAAAGTGTTATTGATAAAATTGTTGTAAAACTCCGAATACTTGTGAAATCTTTATTGATGAGAACGACGTGATCTGGTACACTAACTAGTGAACTGCGAGTCTGTTCCTTGTTGGAACCTGATATATCATTTTTCAATTTTATTTTTATATATTGTGATAAAATTTTCATATTTTTGAACTTTTTTCCTGCTTGTTGATGTATTATATCTTCGTTACGATGGAACAGATAACTAAGTTACCTAAGATTGAACCTCCTCTGCCTCCCACTATTCACTTACTTACTTACTTACGCCTGTTACTCCCAATGGAGCATAGGCCGCAGACCAGCATTCTCTAACCCACTCTGTCCTCAGCCTTCCTTTGCAGTTCCATCCTATTTTTATTCATTTTTCTAATGTCTGTCTCCCTTTCTCGGTGTAATGTGTTCTTTGGTCTTCCTCTTTTCCTTTGGCCTTGAGATTCCGTGTGAGAGCTTGTCTTGTGACGCAGTTGGGTGCTTTCCTCAATGTGTGTCCTATCCACTTCCAGCGCTTCTTCCGGATTTCTTCCTCCACTGGGATCTGGTTTGTTCTCTCCCACAGTACGTTATTGCTAATAGTGTCTGGCCAACGTATCCTAAGTATTTTGCGTAGACAACTGTTGACATACAACACTTGTATCTTCTGGATGATGGCTTTCGTAGTTCTCCAGGTTTCCGCCCCATACAGTAGAACTGTCTTGACGTTTGTACTGAAAATCCTGACCTTGGTGTTGGTTGACGGTTGCTTTGAGTTCTTTCACTATTCAGCCAATACAAAATTCATCCAATAATTTAGAATCCTGGTTCTGATACACGGGAGCTGACTTTCACTGGCACAGTAAGACAGACCTATGTGCACAATTCCCCATAACAGTAAAAACGCAACCACTCTATTTTAACAGGTACATCACACCTAGTATGTTTACTAGTGGTGTTTCGAGACCTTGCGACTGTTCTTAGGTGTGGGGACCTAACCAACCGACAAAAGCTGGGCTAACTCTTCCACAATATCGAGCTGCAAGGCGGCTCAGCAAAAAAAATGTTACTATGTGTATGAGAGTTGATTGGCCAATGGACCTTTGACGAGGGCCCGCTTAGAGAACCTGTTTTTTCTAAGTTTCCTCCACAGGTGTTGGCAGCCCTTGTATCATTTCAGAATAACGCCGGAGACGAACTGTCTGCATCTGCCGAGTGTATTCTGGAGATCACTAGAATCCACAACATCGATGTTTCTTTTGAAAAACAAAAGTTCAAACAACTCATAACGACACGACAGATCTCTGTCACACTCTGAATTGTTAGCCCGACATTTATCGTTATCGTAGACGCTCTCAAACTCCCCGAATAAGCATGTCACGGCGTACATCCGTTTCTCGTCCACGAGAAACAGATAATTCTTATTAGTGCTGATACCATAATGAATATGGCAAATCTTCTCGAAACTGCAGGAAACCCCGTAGTTTCCCGAGCTCCAAACCATCCAACACAAAAAAACCTTTCAGGAAACTTCCAAACCGTCACGCGTTAACGGCACCTGCAGCCGGAGGGCATTGCCGTTTGTTACACAACACTGACATACTGACGAAAATTTGCTACCTCATCGACACTGGAGCAGAAGTAAGCGTTCTTCCGGCAACTTCTAACGATCAATCGCACAATTCTGCTAGAACACCATAGTCTACTCATCGTTACGCAAAAACGGATTTAAGTAGACGAAAAGATTAATTTATCTATTTGTATGATTTCCTTTTCTAGTTGTAGGCCATCCCCAATCACTGTTAAGCACATAATCGATCTATGCTATCAACAGATACTCGACAAGTACCTCGAGCTGTACCTAACACGAAAAAAGTTACCGTGTGTAACCGGCAGCGTTGAAAACGACATCACCACTACAGAACCACCAGTATTTTCAAGAGCGTGACAACAAGCTTTCGAAAAGCTATGGTTGGCCAAAAATCAATTCGACCATAAGGTAGATTGCACATGGTCCCTAAAAGGACAGCAATGATTGGTGTTCAACTGATGGCTATTAGCGACTGAATGCGAAAATAACTTCTGATTGTTACTAGTTGCCTCACATTTACGATTTCAAAGTTATCTTAAAAGGCACAACTGTTTTTTTCGAAAATCGATTTGGTTAAAGCCTGTAGTCAAATTCTCACGGCTGCTGACGAAGTTCCTAAAACTGCTATCATCACCTCCCTTTGAACTCCAGGAATTTTCGCGCATGTCTTTCGGTTTGAGAAATGCTGTACAAGCATTGCACAGTTTCATCGATGACTTCTTTAGAAATTTTAAATTCATGCATGCAGATGCAGATGACCGCTTGATCGCAAGTCAAGACAGAGAATCTCGTCTTCAATATTAACACCTTGTTTTCGAATGGCTTCAAAAATATGGTATTACTGTAAACATTCAGAAATGTCAAATTGGTTCCTACTCCCAAGATTTCTCTGGGCATATTATTGATACTCAAGACATCCGCCTTCTGTAAAGCAAGGTAATAGCCATTGTGGATTATCAAGAACCAACCACAACCAAGTAATTGTGTGTGTTCAACGGTCTATTAAGTTTCTCGACGATTCATATCGATTAAGGGTCTCATGCGAGTACAGATGGATCTAAGACAGGAAAAATCGACAGCAACACAAGCTAATGACTAGGATGATAATCAACTAAAAAATATTACCAAAAGATGTGTTTAGAAAACTCCTAATCCTAAAGGGAATAACTCAAGTTATACCGTACCAAGTATGCTACTGATTAAATTGATACACAAAAGCATAGTTAATGCACGAGTATGAAGTTGTTGTCCGTTTTTAAAAATAATCTATGCAACCTAATCACACTGAAACAATGATTTATTTTATCTGGTTAGCAAAGAAAGAACATAGCAGACTGCCTGTCTAATTAATCTGTGTATTGAAAACTGTAATTGTTTGAACTACTTAGGACGAAAGGAGTGGGGTTCAAGGCTACATATCCGTGGTTATAAAGTGGTTTGTTGCAACTGGGATAATGGGGGCTACGAACAAGCTGGAAGACAAAAATGTGGTTTCTGATTCTGGCAGTGACTCGGACGACTCTGCGCCAGAAATAGAAGATTCTAAGGAACAAAGCGATGCCAAAGTTTCACATATGGCCGACGAATTACTCAGTCGATGCAAGCAGTCCAGAAGTGAAAAAAAAGCTAGGAAAGCTATGTCGAAGCTGGGATTAAAATTAGTACAGGGAGTTTGCCGCGTAACTATACGGAAAGCAAAGACCATTATGTTTGTAATCAATAGGGCAGAGGTCTATAAATCATCTGCCTCGGATACATACATTATATTTGGTGAGGCTAAGGTAGAAGATATATCAGCCCAAGCTCAGATAGCTGCAGCTGAAAAACTTCGTAGTCAAGCTATGGGAGGTGCTGAGTTAGGGACTTCCAGTGGTCTATCAAAAGATACAGTTTCATCTATCTCGAAGACTGCCATCGCAGAAGAGTCTGAAGATGATGAAGAGGTAAAATGATTATAATTAAGTTGATTCTGCTTAGCCTGACGCTACTGGATTGGACGAGAAAGATGTTGAACTCATTATGCAGCAAGCTGGTGTATCGCGTGGCAAAGCTATTCGAGCACTTCGTGAAAATAACGATGATGTAGTCAATGCTATCATGGTAGGATCTGTTTAACCTAATTGTTTTATCTCTTCTAGTCACTCACAGGATAGCCGGAAAATTATAATGACCTGTGATTTGTGTCGTTAATAATTCAATCATTATTTTTGAAAACTATTTCTCACAGCATCATATTCTTAGTAAATTTTTTTTCACTGGTTTCAAACTTTTACATTATTTGATCGGTTGTCTCTTTTTGCATTTTGTCAAAAAGTACAGACATAACACAGAAAAATGCAAAGCATTTTCAGTAGTGGTAAACTAATTTAGATTAATAATGTTGCCGAAATTTAATGTTAGGTCCAACCTCATCTCCATTTATGTATTTTTTGGTCGTCACTAATTAATTCTGAAAACTTGTTCCTTGAGAACAATAGTATATGGGTTAACCTTACGTCTAGGTCACTGACAATTGTGGTTGTAACTCACCAAGTACATGCTTTTGTACTTGATCAAAGTAAAATAGATGAAAAGCGTTCGTGCACCAGGTCTGTTAAAAATTGAATGGCTTCATTATAGTTGTTACGAAAAGTAACTTGCCTGAGTCGTTTAATTGTTCGTCTCATGCTAATATGCATAGAAACATTATTTGGAATGTCATGTCACTACTGTGTATGCTTTCGTAGTCTTGGTTATCGGCTGCCTTCTTTTGTTATAGCTAGTAGTACTGTGTACCAGGTAACTGTACCGTAAAGAAACGAGTTGAGCAGATTTGAGGAGCTTTTCATTTTGTATACTGCACCAGGCGAAGGTGTTTTCGTTACTCCTAATACTGACAGATATAAATGAATTGTGTTTTGAAGCAGTTTGCTCATATAACAATAGAGACTGGTATCAATCACGAAATTGGGAACAACTCGAGAATGACTCAGTATCTCATACATTGTTGAGCTTATACCGTTCTTATTCCGTAGTATTTTATGACCTGTAATACAATCGTAGTACAATATATGGTGCGAAAAAACTGGATGGTGTTTACGACTGTTGGATTTTTCTGTTATTATTAGTCTAGATAGCACGGAAATCGTCATTCATATACAATCAATAGCGAAATAAATATACCTGTATTTGACTTTTATGATATTTGCAACGTGTTCTACCTAATTTATCGACAGTGCAACTAAAAGATGTGTTTGTTCAGATTATCATATTGACCAACAGCTTTCATAACCACAGTTCACTGGTTTTGTGGCGGAAATTCGGATAAATAACTCGTCTGCTTATTCGACTGGCTATACATGAGGATGTGAAAACGCACTGGTAATCTTCTGAGTGACGAAGCTGAGCGTAAAATTTCTGTCACGCAATCAAGGAGTCTCAAAACTAGTTGATTGTTACTGTCATAACCAGCAAACAACAGAACACTGACGCAAATATTCGAGTCCAGGTCAGGAGTATATGTGAGTGGGTCGTGAATCAGTCAAAATTGCGTTTTGAAAAATAGTACAGCCCAGCATGACCAGTTATTATGAGTACATGAGAAAAACTCTGGCGACTTTAAATCATGAATTAAAAGCAGTCCCCTTCATAGGATTGAAAAGTGCCATCAAACTTGTTTCGACAGGAGTTTATGATAACCTTTGCACGAAACTATTGCACTCTGCTTCGTTTGGTACATGAGCTAGGAAAACCAGGTGCTGTAGGACATGCAATGATATAAACTGGTATTGTGCAGTGTTACGTCGTTAATTAGTTTAACAAGGCTGGATTTAACTCGCGTCATGTTGATTAGACTGCTCATGTTTGAGCTGTGTTTATGTAGGGGGTTAGTAACTGACATTTTGCTGAAAGTGATGTAATGTTTGGACTTATTGGCTGAGAGCTGTATGTTATGCATACGGTTCACCTTGTATAGTGGTGAAAATTCTGAATATTCCCACCTAAGAAGCTTATTCGTTAAACTGCATCACTGGCAAGTTCTATGCGACTTGAACAAAATTACAGTTGAATAGCGCTTGCTACTAAGTGTAAGATGATAGTGCCTGGTCAGTCGAGTGATTGTTCAAGACATCTTCAGTTTTGGCAACCGAGTAATATCAATAACCGTCACCTCAATTGTGCCTAAAAACTGAAATGATCTGTACTTGGTAAATAAACTCATAAAATTGACTTTAACGCCTACATCTATTAACTCAATTACTTCGACTTATGCACTAGCATCAAATAGCTGTTTGGTTTATGAGGATGTGCTATTGTATATATAGGCGTTAGATGAACTTTCATATTTCCAGGGATTGCTGTGACGAGACTCCGATCTTGCAAATATAACTCGGTTACTCTAAACGCTTAATTCGACGATTGCTTTCGATTTTCAGACCTCCCTCGGTGTGAAGTAACAATCTCAAAATAACATGGTGTAAAGCGAACTTATCGTGAGTAATGTTAAGTAAATTCTTGGTCTCTGAATGCTTTGGTCTAAATTGTTCTAAATAAATGGTACAAAGCGTACTACTTAGCGATCCTCTTGTTAATGCGTTCAAATGACGATTAGAGTAGGTCGTCATCACACCTATGGGGATTGTATATAGTTGATACACTCGGACCAGTAGTCTAGGACATTGAGAGCGTTTATGGTTCACTTTATTTGTATAAAAAACCACAGTGAATGAAGTAGATGTAGGATATTTGATCATATCGACTCCAGACTAATATTGTGGGACTTATTATTTATTTGAACATATAAATATTAGGCCAGGTTTCACGAGCATAGGGCAAAATTGCTCTCACCGACGCGTTGTAGATCTGATCTTTCACAGCCAAACTAACATCAAGAAGGCGCCAAAGGTGGCCCACATTGGCATAAGCCACTTTGGCCTTCATTATACTTATGGAACGGTGTGAATTGAAATAGGTGATTTGTCATAATAACAGATCAGCACTAATCGTATGGTTGCTTATTTATTTGAACACATAAATATTGGTACGAAGGGGCACCGAGCACATATGTGCTACACAAGTTACTTGGTTTGTATGGTGGCTGAAGTACTGCCCGGGTGCCCAGATCCAAGCAGGTGGATTGTTATTGGGCCACACTCGGAGCCTTCGACCTAAACGTCTGATTCACAGGGCAGTGGAGTAGCGTAAAGAGACGCAGTCCAAGGTAGCCGGTGACCAATGCTTCCATCATACGCCGTTTGTCCCCTCAGTATGCTGGAGCCCGTTCGCACCATTGGTTTGTAATTAGGGCTTTCCAACTCCCCTAGGTAGACCCACCAACCCGGTTAAAGCGCCAGACGACCGATTTTCGTCATCTTAATTTCGTGAACAGCACTCCCGACATGAGAAGGTAGGAAGTAGGACTTCTCTGGCTGTAATTGTATGTACGTGGCCGTGCGGGTGAATTTCGAGAGAGATCTAACTCCTGCTACCCTTGGCTGCATTAATACGTATCCAACTGCAAAGTTGTCTTCCATAACACATAGCAAAGTCAAACCCCGAAGGATAAGCCAGTTTAAAATGTAAATCTGCGGGCAACATTTAAAGCGACACTTAAGTCACTTCAGCGATTTGTGTCAAAAATTATTAATATAGGTAAGAACGAGCAATAAAGTTACTTCATGTTTCGGGTTCTAAGCACACAAGCAATAGTTCCTTACAATGAATTTCTTTTTTAAAATACAGGGAATATTACGGTAGGTAGGTGACTATTCGTGGACAAACTTATTAGTAAAGCTTCAATAAAATGAGAGCCTAGTCAGGATTATCTGCAGGTTTAATCTGTCGAACTTAGAGTATTCGTCGCTCGCCCCTACAGCGTTTTTGGACTCACGGTGAACAAAGTGCAATTGTTATAAAGAATGTTTCTGATGTAATGGGTCATACAACTACTAGTAGGGTGTATGAAATTTTTGAACACTTGGGTGGGAGATTTAATAGGTGAGCTATCCATATAGTAAGTCACAGTCTAATATAAACAGGGCTTCATTATACGCGATCAGGAGTAATCTACAATACTAAGAAGCTTTTGTTGGGATTACGTCGCGCACACCATTCAAATTGATGATATCCAAGCTAGGAAGGGCAAACAAAATCCCGGTTGCATCGTAGGCATATTATTCTCGTCCACTCTTCAGTGTTAACGTAAAGTTCAGTAGTGTCTGTCTTACAATAGCATGTCTCTGTGACAATGGAAAGTGTAGTCCATCCACAGAAAGCATCGGACAACGTTGACAGGTTTCGCAGCAGCACGTACAAAATAATGATGTGAAGTTGGAGTAAAATAACATATAGTTGGCTTGGTAATTTTGATTTATTAAGTATTTTAGCTCCATATGGCTTTGTAACAGTGTGTGTCATTTAATTATTAAGATCCAGCGAATAACAACGGCATTTGTATTTCATTGAGAATTGCACCCATTATACTACATACCATTGGTTGTAAAACTGGACGAGACGTCTAATACGTTAATGTGTCTGGTTAAGTAACTTTATGCAATTGCGAGTGACTCTTTTCAGTCATATTGCAGTAGAAAATTCACTATATCTAAAGTCACTGTCTGGCTAAACAAATACGTTACTACATTTCGATTTTATTCGACAAGAGAACGCAGTGAGAAACGTAGTCCCTCAGTAGATGACACTTAGAACTAGCAGGACACAGTACAGATGCGTCGATAACGAGTACATCAGATGGTGCCAGGACATTAGAGTCATCACATAATTTTAGCACCTAGCATGTGTATGCACTCTGAGATATAACGTTATTTTGAGACGAAGTAAACTTGTCGAGACACATTGACTATCACAGTCGGTTTACCTTAGTTTTAATCCAAACACAATGATCAAACAGGGTTTTACATTTCAGGCAGCAGTGCAACAGATAAGTCGATCATAATGAGAAGCAAATACTAGTATAGCTTATTATTATTACTTGAGAAAATTCTGGCATGACACTACTAATTTAATCTAAAAATATAAAATCACGAACGAGATGAATTTAGAGCGTATTGGGTAACAATCAAAAACGACTTAGTTTGGTCTACTTCAGTCGCAAGTTTGACCAAACATTTGAAATTTAGACCATTTATTATTGAGAGATAGTTCCGAATAGGAAATATGTTACGGCGCTAGGCTTAAGCATATTCCGTCAAGGACAACTGTGATTAATCTGACTGTAAGGTCCCATATCCTGATCACCACGAAAGCCTTACTGAAACAATAAGTTCTTATAGTTTCGGTCAAGCCCATGCTATCAATCATGGAATTTCTTTTGACTGCCGTTTGGAGCCAACATAATAGATGTGGTCGAGAAGTTTGCAGAGTGTGAAGTCAAAAGTTTGAGACTGCTAATATACATCTGGAGTTTCCGAGTTCCAATTCTAAGCAAGTCACTATTGGGTGTCAAACACAGACATTCCCCGTATACATATTTCTGTTTATTTTACTGTGATGTTAAGTGAACGCAAATAAAAACGACCGGTCATAAATGAGATACTACTTTCTCATTACATGGGCAAAAGTTGACCGAGGGAATGAAAGGCCAGGAACCTCATTCCGTTTTCTTATGACTGAGTGACTGAAGGACTTTTACACGAGCAAATTGTGATTAAACATTATGTACGTCATTTATAGTAGACTATGAATTTACAGGGTGTCGATTGACGCTGTTGCAACATACATACCTAGGTTAGTTACCAGTCACGTTCAGAAAATTGAATGGAATATCCAATGCTAAATTATATTTATGCAGTTAATATACAAGCTCCCCCAACTGCTTTGATTTTTTCTTCTGCTTTCCGAGAGAAGAACCGGGCTTTGACAATAACTGGGACCTTCGGAAGATATCCCTTGCCTAGGACTTTGAAATAACCCTATAAGGGCCAATTGATACATTAGATGTTGGTACTTACCTTGCGCAAACAATCTATTACAGGAGCTTTACCATCAGTGGAGTCTCTATACTTTTCGTAAGTCGCTTGCGAAACTAAAGACCATATTTTATCCAGGTTAATTGTTGGACAGTAGTAGGGGTTTCTTTTAAGATGATAATGGCGCATACCAACTTTACCAATATAGCCTGGATGGTACTTGTCCATGTTAATACGATGGTGATGTTCAAGACCTGCATTTCCCCGTCCTCCCGGATGCTTGCGATGTTTACCTACTCGTCCATGGCCATGACTTACGTGGCCACGCAACTTCCTTGTCTTTTTGGCCTTGATACGAGACTATAACACAAATAAGATGATTTTCGGATTAAAACAGTACTAACCATCGACTCCTAATCTCACCACGATGCAGAGTAGCGCGCCGAAACTATATGAACGATCGGTATATCGTCCAAACAAATGTGCTTCTTTACCACTATAAGAAAGTGGTGGCCTTCTTGTCTGATTTTAACGACTGATATCATTTATTTTCGGGATATTTCTATAGTAATTAGGTGATGTCTTCATTTTAGACTCTCTAGATAACATTCATATTTTTTGCGTTTAAAATAACTTATACCTGTTACTTCCCTGTAAATTAGTTTGGATCATCCATCAAGATTCTCTGTCTCACTCTATCGTGGATGATCCTTGCTTGTTTTTTCCACTTGTCGTTCATTCTTTTGACATCTGCTTTCAATTCTCAACGCAATTTGTTCTCCATTCTCCCTATTCCTCTTCCCTTCAGGATTCCAAGTAAGGGAATGCCTCGTGATGCAGTTTGGTGATCTCCGCAATGTGTGTCTCATCCAATTACAACGTTTTTTTCCTAATTTCCTATTCAGCTCGAAGCTAGTTTGTCTTCTCTCACAGAAGGCTGTTGCTGATAGTATCCGACCGAAGGATGTTGATTTCTTGTGTAGACAATTTTTTATAAATACTTATACCTTCCTGATGATGGTTGTGGTAGTTCTCCAAATCTCGGTTCCGTACAGTAGGACTGTTTTGACGTTCGCAAAGAAGATTCTCACTTTGATATCGGTTGACAGTTGTTTTGAGTTCCTGCGGTGTTTGAATGAATACTTTATATCGAATTCCAAATACAGTATATTCGCTCGTGCTTATCTAGTACTTCTTGATGTGATTACACTATTTCTGGAATTGTTAGTTCGTATTATAATTCAAATACTCCCAATCATCACATGGCGTTGCGATTAAGCCTGTGATGGAACAGCTAGATATTCATTCAACTTCTGAAGCTTTTGAGGATTATTTGTAAAGGTTTGAAATCTGGAGCATGAACAAGAAAGATGTTAAAGGTGATAAAATTGTGGCACTTTTACTGACATTCATCGGAAGAGAAGCGTAAAGCTTATTAAAAACCTTGGCATATCCAGAAAAACCTATCTCACTTCCTTATGCAACTCTTAAGGAACTATTATTAAATCGTGTAAAGTGCACTAGTTTTGAATGCCGTGAAGGGGCGAAATTTCATAAGATGATTCGTCGAAATGATTAAAAGGTTAGGGAATTCATCCTTGAATTGCAGAAACATGCTGCCAAATGTAATTTTGGCGATCAACTTCATGTGCAACTGAGTGATCAAATAATTGCAGGAATTAACATACAGGGTTTGGAAGGAAAGCTGTTAAAAATGCCGAATTGTTCTTTTCAAAATGCTAGAACTGCGTGTATTAACTACCAGGCAGTGAATGAATTTGATATCCAGTTAATGAAGATTTCCAATACTTTGCTTAGTCGTCGTGACGAACTACAATCTCAGGGTCAATCAAACTAGCGTTCGTTTAACAGTGATCCCTATTCTCGTGTAAATATGAAAGGTGTCTCAACAAGGAATTACAAAGTAAATCACAAAGGTGAGATCAAGTTTGGTAAATGTTTATCATGTGGAAAGTTTCATTCCCGTAATTCATGTCCATTTCGTAATGCTAAATGTTTTAAATGTGGTAAGATAGGACACATTCAGTCAGTATGCAAATTTGCTGTCCATTTTGCTCCAAGTAGTACTGTAGTGGCATTGGGCCATAATCACACAATCCTCAAAGCTGAACCCGAGACTACTCGGAAAATAGATATTCGATATTTAACGCGGAGAAATACCTAACGATGGGGAAGGCGCGAACAAGGAATTGAATGAATTGACGTTAATCGGATGGGATTAGGTCTATTATTAGAGCAGTACTAATATCATAGTAGACCATAATTCTACAGTACTAAATCTTGCAATTTAGATCTCACTAATTCAGCTGTTCCTAATGATCATTTATCTTTGTCTACCATTTCGAAAGGTAATGCTCATATTCAAAAGCGATTATATGCATCTCTTGGTTTATGTCATGAATTTATTGTGGACACAGGAGTATAGAGTTCATTATTTCATTCCAGAATTTGAAATCTTTAGATCCCAAAGTTGTGGTACGACCCACTGAAGCGCCAATACTGGGGATTACTGGACACAGACTGCCCATACGATGATGTAGTGAATTGCTAATAAGAGATGATAATTCTTCATAAATACCTTGGGAATTTTTAGTGAAAGAAACAGGACTGTCAACACTGGGTTTAAAGAATTTGAAAAGGCTTAAAGTGGAGTTGTATTTCCTACTTTCTAAAGAAAATTATGATGCTTTACTTAAAGATTTGATGGCTACGTGTGCTAAATGCAGTGGAGGTATGAAAATTCAGCCTATAAAACTTCAAGTACAGGGTGATCCAGCCTTTCTTAAAAAACGAATAATTCCTTATGGTCTTCGAGAAGCAGTACATAAGACATTAAACGATTTGTGTGTGAAAGGCATAATTGAACCGATTCAATCTTCAGCATGGGGTACTCCTATTGTTACGCCACTGAAGTCAGACGGCAAGACCCCTAGAATATGTGGTGACTATATATTAACATTAAACTCCCGTTTGTTAAAGCAAACGTGCACAACGATAGAGGCTGAAGATATTCTAAATCGACTTCATGGTTCAAAAGTGTTCTTGAAAGTTGACCTAAAAAATGCTTATTCTCAAATTCCTTTAGATCAATCTTTATCTATTTGGACGACAATTAACACTCCTTTTGGTCTGTTCAATACAATTTCCTTCCATTTGGTCTAAGTTGTTCTCCAGCCATATCATAGGAAGTGATGAACAAAGTAGTTAGAGATCTTGAAGGTGTTGAAGTTTATCAAGATGATCTCATTGTTCATAGTTCTGATAATGTAGTTCATGACGAGAGACTTATTGCTTTATTACATCATTTAATTGAGAAGAATATTACAGTGGATCCAAATAAGTATTAATTTTATGTATCTAGTTTTGAATGTCTTGGATAGTTGACGGTAATGGTTTTAGACCAGATATGAAACGACTAGCTCTACTAAAAAATGCACCGTCTCCATAACATCTGAAGACACTACGTTCACAAGTGGGCGTTCTTCAATAATATTCCCCTTATGTTAGAAATTTTTCTTGTCCTGAAAATTGAATATATAATATTTTGACATACAATTCAATCAAATCGGGTGAGGAACAGGAGTCACGCTTAGTAAGTCTCCTAAAGTTCCTTCAAAGTGATGGTGTTCTTCGAACTGACTCACCTAGTGTATGTTCTGTGCTTAAAACTGATGTATCACTTGTGGGTTTTGGTGCATTTTAGGAGCAGAAGGGTAGACTAGTTATCTGTGTTTCATACAAGCTTACTGTTACTGAACAATGTTATTCACTAACTCACCGAGAAGCATTAGCTGTGTTTTGGGCTATTAAAAGAATTCAAAAATATATATTCGGGAAGAAATTCAATATTGTTACTGATCATGAAGCTCCTCAGTTTATTTATCACCCTGAAAAATCCTTAGCACGTTCCTCAGCTGCTATGGTTCAACAACGAAGTATTGTCCTGAGTGCCCATGACTACATTTCTCGACAATCATTACAAGATAGATCTGTTAATACTCCAGATTGTTTTTTGGTGCAACCTTTTTCAGTGAGGCGTCCAGTTCTCAGTAGAGAAACTCGTATATACTTTGGTTGTATACTCAGTGCTATACGGAAAGGCTGGAATGTTAATCTGAAACGTAGATCGCCTGTCTATTTTTCAAAGCGGGATGAGCTATCCACTACTCCTAGGGGTATTTTGTGTTTAAATGAACGTCTTGTTATCCCTCTTTCATTACGTAAATCTTTTCTTGAAGATCTTCATAGTGAACATTTAGGTGTTGAGAAAATTAGGTCTCTGACAAGGCACACATGTTGGTGACCGGAGATAATTTCAGATATATGTCGTACAGCGAACAATTGTAGAAAATGTCATAAGTCAAAATGTCAGCCTTCGAAGTTTACTCCATGGCCAGTATCATCTGAGGCCGGGCAGAGAATTCATGCAGACTATTGTGATCCATTTCTTAACAAATACTATGAACTTGTAGTCATTGCTTCTTTTTCAAAGTGACCTGAAGTTTTTTCCACAACTTCACCAAATTCTGACTTCACAATTCAAGCAATAATAAGGGTATTTAGTCGGAAAGGCGTTCCTATGGTATTATTGGCTGATAATGGCTCTCATTTTGCTGCAGACTCACTCAATATCTGGTTGAATGGTATGGGGTGCAAGCATCTGTTCACAGCTCCCAGGCACTCTTGTTCTAATGGTCATGCGGAAATTTTTGTCAGAACATTGTAAACTGCCATCGGTTCTACTGCGGATTCAACATTTAATGAACTGGAGAGTGAGCAAACACATTTCTACTGCAATATAGAAATGCCGAAAATTCGGAGACGAAAGAGACTCCATCCAAGCAATTAAAGGGAAGAATTTTTCGTTCTCATGTGAAGTGTTTGGAGTCTGCAGTAGTTGCATTTTATCGTGGAAATGATCGTTAACTAACCACTGGAGTCGTGGTGAACACTGTTGAGAAATCCATGAGTCGAATTCTATATATCAACGATCTAAGTACACAAAAGCGATATGTTGATCAGATACAATTCCACAAACCAGGTGATTTTGTCCCAATTCTCGTTGTTAATTCTAATACTAATGAGTACATTCTAGATTATACAGAGTCCTTATCCAATACACAGGATGAACTGGTGAAGAAGACGTACAATCGATTACAGAAACTTAGACTTTAATATAAGCTGTGGCGGATGTGGTGTTTGCATGAACTAATGATTTCTTTGTACTTGATGAGTACTTGATTCCGAATTCCAAATGCAATACGTTCGTTCATATCCATGTAGTTCTTCTTGATTAAATTGTGTTATCCTTGGATTTCTTGTTTATACTATAATTCAAATAGTCACATTGTTGTAATTTGTTAATCAGAGTTGATAAATCTCCAGCCATAAATTTCTCATCAATGAGCGTGGAACGTCTACACTATGTCTAGAAATTTTAATAATGCTTTAGGGTCAGCTTTCTATATTAAAGACTGCAAATGTACCTA